CCAAACTATGAAAAGAACCTAGATGTCCATCAACAGATGAATGGATAAAGAAGAAGTGGTATATATATACAATGGAATACTATGCAGCCATCAAAAGAAATGAAATCTTGCCATTTGAGATGATGTGGATGGAATTCGAGGGTATTATGCTTAGCAAAATAAGTCAATCAGAGAAAGACAACTATCATATGATCTCCCTGATATGAGGAAGTGGAGTTGCAACGTGGGGGGGCTTGGGGGGGGTAGGAAAAGTATAAATGAAACAAGATGGGATCGGGAGGGAGACAAACCATAAAAGATTCTTACTGTCACAAAACAAACTGAGGGTGGCGGGGGGAGAGGGCTAGGGAGAGGGTGGTGGGGTTATGGACATTGGGGAGGGTATGTGCTATGGAGTGCTGTGAAGTGTGTAAACCTGGCGATTCACAGACCTATACCCCTGGGGCTGATAACACATTATATGTTTATAAAAAAATAAAATTATAAAAAAAATAGAATAGGCATACTTTTCCCTTTTCTTTAGACTAAGTAAAAACCAAGATCTTTGGACACTATACAGAAAACAAATGTAAGAAGACCCAAAGTGCAGAAAAGGAGGCAGATGGCTAAGGACCTCAGGACCTGAGGAATGACAAATGAGTTCCCTGGATTTTCTTTTTGTCTCACACATCCCAGATTGAGTGCTAGAGAAACCAAAAACTCAGAAATGTCAGTTGGTCCAGACAAAAAATGTTCAACAAAAGTTAGCCGGAAGACCAGAAAAGGGGCAGACTAGCACACAGAAATCTTTTAGACAATAGCCATCTTACTCTAGTTAAATGCCACAGAGAAAAACTGTGGCCCTACTTTCAGTCATACTAACAAAGGCCAAGTAGCAACCCTAAACAACCATGTTTGAGAGGCTTTCATGAGGAACCCCAATAACCTCCTAGGATTGTGTCAGCGAGGCCAAAGTGTATCCCCCTGGTGTCAATAAGACCAAGTGGGAATTTGGACTCCCACCTCTACCCAGCAGTAATAGGATGCCATATCTCCCCACCACCTGCAACCATTCCCCACCCCTGCTGGAACAGTATCAGAGAAAGCCAGCAAAAACCAGTTTACATGAGATCCAAGTCTCAGAGTATAATAGAAAAATGCCCAGGTATCGGTCAAAAAAAATTACTCATCGGGGTGCCTGGCTGGCCCAGTCAGTAAAGCATGTGACTCTCAATCTCAGGGTCGTGAGTTCAAGCCCTAAACTGGGCATGGAGTCTACTTAAAAAATAAATAAATACATATCACTCATCATACCAAGAACTAGGGAGATTTCAAGCTGAATGGAAAAAAAGACAATCAATAGATGCCAACACTAAAATGACACAGATGTTAGAATTTCTGACAAAAATTTTAAAGCAGTAACAATAAAAATGCTTCAATGAGTAATGATAAATACAGTTGACACAAAATGAAAGAAACAGAAAGCCTCAGCAAAGAAATAAAGGACATAAAGGAGAACCAAATGGAAAGGTTTAAAATGAAAATTTTAATGATTAAAATGGGAGTGTCTGGGTGGCTCAGTCAGTTAAGTGCCCTGGGTTTGGGTCAAGGTCCCAGGGTCCTAGGATCAAACTCTGCATCAGGCCCCACATCAGGCTCCCAGCTCATCAGGGAGCCCACTTCTCCTTCTTCCTCTGCCACTCCTCCTGCTTATGCTCTCTCTCTCTCTCTCTCTCTCTCTCTCTCAAATAAAATCCTAAAAAAAAAAAAATTAAAATTAAACGGTCAGAGGCTGGGTTCAAGAAGAGAAGGAAGGGGACAAAGGAAAGAATCAGTGATATGGAAAAGAGAACAATAGACATGGCCTAATCTGAACAACAGAGAGGAAATAGACTGGTGAAGTGTGGGGAGAGAACAGAGCCCCCGAGAACTGAGGAAATATAATAAAAGATGGGAGTCCCAGAAAGAGAGGAGAAAAGGTGGGACTGTAAAAAGAATCAGAAATAATGGCTGAAAAGTTCCCGACTTCGACAGGAATCATCAAACTGAAAATTCAAGAAGCTTAGTGAACCCCAAACAAGATAAACCCAAAGGAATCCATGCCAAGACACACAATTAAGTTTTTTTTTTTTTTAAAGGTTTTATTTATTTGAGACAGAGAGAGAGAGCACAAGCAGGGAGGAGAGTCAAAGGGAGAGAGACAAGCAGATTCCTTGCTGAGTAGGGATCCTGACATAAGACTTCATCCCAGGACCCTGGGATCACCACCCGAGCCAAAGGCAGCCACTTACCTGACTGAGCCACCCAGATACCCCCAAAATTCAGCTTCTGAAAACTAAAGACCCAGTAAACAAAGTATCCAAGCTTTACTAGGCTGTCTCAGACCTTTGATGGCTACTACTTATGGCAGCTGAGTAACCAGGGCTGGAGAGAAAGGTCTCTCAGTTCAGCCTGGATCAGGTGTCAATGGCAGTGTGGGAAGCCATGAGGTCAGAGAAACTTGCATGATTTCAGGGTGACCACCTCCTAGCTTGGATTCACCTTGTGGAAAGAACCTCCTGTGGTTTTTAGTGGAATGGAAACAGGGTTCTCTTGGTGTGTTGAACACACTAAATCTTCAGGGTCTTTCTTCCTGCTGCTCCCATAGCCTGGAATGCACATTCCTTGCCTCTTCCCATTGCTGGTTACCTCAGCTTTCTGCATAAATGTCACTTCTTCAGAAGGGCTTTCTCCTCCGTCCCTGCCAAAAGTAGATTTTCTACCAATCCCCGCCCTATTAAATTTTATCTTGCACAATTTTCCCCCCTCTTGTTATTGACCACAATGTGCAAATATTTCATTTGCTGACTTGTATAGTGTAGCTCACCACTGCTAAACTTAAGCTCCATGGGATCAAAAACCACCCTGTGTCCTGAGGGCTTCCCCCATGATCTGGTACACAGAAACCCCCACCCCCCACCCCACGTTCCAGGGCGCTGAGCTTGCGCTTCATCTATAGCATCTCATTTAGTTGTCACATGTTGACAGTGAGGTGGGTATTGTTGCTCTCATTTTACAAATGGGGAAACTGAGGTTCAAGGAGGCAGAGTCTCATGCTGAAAGTCACACACTGACCAAGATGTAAAGTTTCATGCACGGGCTTCTTCATCCCTACCCCCACCAATGTATTTCCCACAGCACCACCCAGCCCCCCTGCTGAGGCAACTTATCTGGGTTTAAGCCCTAACCTTACACTCTTCTTGCTAGTATCTTACAAAGTTCACGGAGATTGCTTATCTAAAATTTGGAGAATGAGGCATCAAACGGCAAGCACTGGACAGGTAAAGAGCCCTTCATTACACCCATCTCTAAGCAGTTGGGCCGGAGTTTTATTTCAGAGCCTGGGTACCATGGTGATGCAAGCTCTATAAATACCCGAGGCTCCTTTCAGCCAGCCCGCTGGGTATGGCACTGGCACCCCCACCCATTTCCCACCAGGGCTCCTCTGCTGCTGCTGGGGTGGGGGTAGCAGAAAGCACTGCTCAGCAGGAACTCCCTCCCTCTGCTCACACTTACTTTCTTTCTCCTCTCCACATCCCCACCCTACCCCTGAAACTGAGATTTCTTCTCCACCTCCTCCTTCGGTGCATAATTCATTTCCTCATCCCCGGGTGAAAGACTCAACAGTTCCCAGCCCCCAGTACCCAGAAGACTTTGGATGGGAGAATCAAAGCCTCTCCTGCCAGCCCCGTGGTAGCCCCCTGTCAAGAAGAAATCCAGTTCAGTTAATAAATGAACAAACAAGGGCGGGCGGGGTGGGGGGAAGTCCGGGGGTCGGTGGGGAGAGAGGCAAGCAGCCTAGGGAGAAAAGTGCTCCTCGTTCCATGGAGAAAGCTTAGCCTATTGAACCCCCTGATACCTAACTCCCCAGGTGGGTCTCATCCATGGCACTAGTGGAGGTCAAGAATCACTTTGGTCTCTATTCAGCTTAGAAGTCAGAACCCCCACCTCAACCCTGCCCTCTCATTGTAAACTCAGCTATGACCTCAGCATGCCCCCTCCCACCTCCAACTACGCCAAGTAGATAAGCAATCCAAACGAAAGCAGGAGTTCCAGATAATCTGGATATTCCTCTGTCTTGAAGTTCCTCCTTCATTGGCACTCTAGAGCCCGTGTAGCTGTGAATTCAGAAGCCAAAACCTACTTACTGGAAGGAGCTGAGTGGGAATCTTGGCTCTATTATTTACTATGTCACTGTAAGAAAGTCACTTCACTTCTTGGAGTCTCAGTTTACACATCTATAAAATGGGACTAGTAAGAACTAGGGCAATGAGTCATTAGTCATAGACACTTCATCTACCTGTAAAGTGAGGAGGCTGCGCCAGACTTATATCAGTTTATTTTCAAGCACCATATTAAGCGCTGAGGACCCAGAAGTAGATTAAAAAGCCATCTCTTCTGCTTCGACTCTCATAATGCCAAGGTTTCTTCTATCTTAATTTTCTCTGGCTTAGGGCATGTTTTCCCATCATTGAAAAGAACAGTCCATGGGCCCAATTATGAACCTCAAATAATGCATGGCTATAGAAAAAGGACATTCTGGACTCAATCATGGCAATGGAACTGTGTGCCTTGTCTGAGATGTGTGGGAGGGACAGCATGGGGTAGGGAGGTATGTGCATGGAGTCAGAAGAAAAATCTCAGCAGAAGTCTTCACAGCCTCCATTTCCTCGAAGAATGTAGACTCGAACAAGAAACTACTGCTGACATGTCCGTTCCTTTTTTTTTTTTTTTTAAGCTTAATTTCTCCTCCTTGACATCTTCATGAAATGAAGACGGCAAGGTCTGCTACATAGATCACACGAGCCGCACCACCAGCTGGATCGATCCTTGCCACTCTGAAATGCTCTGAAACACATGTGTGCAAACTGGCCTTTCTTCTTTGCTCATGCAGTGGGGGAAAGGATTTAAGTGGGCGTCTCTTGTAAAAAAAACAAGGCGACCTGTGCCAGGCTCAGGTGTCTCTTATGGGTCCCCTGGAGGTGAAAGCGAATGAGGAAAGGCTTGTCCTGTGGTCACTTCTGCTCAGCTCCAGTACCGGCCATACCTCCAGCTCAGCTCACGGGCAGCCAGACACGGCCCCAACAGGAAGGCTGGGAGAGGCTGGGCTTCTTGTCTTCAGTTCACATTCCTGCAGTTCAGTCACCTGTAGAATAATGTCCAGCTTGCCCTATCTCGTGGCTGAGCTGGTTTTACCTTTAATCCCTTTCACGTTTGTCCTCAGCCTTGGAGAATGCCTGGGGATGATTCACCCGCCATCACATGGGGCAAGCAGTCATCTGTTTTATTACCTCACCCTGCTTGCCGCTTCTGGGAGATAACCTAGGATTCTTTTGTTGGAGGGTGAGGGTGGGGGGTTGATGGAGGTAGTAAGGACTCAAAAACAGATGAAGGCTTTAAGGAGTTAGTTCCTGTTATGGTCTCTCTTTCCTGTTCCCCTGCTCAGGTCTCAAAGCCCAAAGAAAAAGAGAAAATCCCAGGGCTTGGCCACCTGGGCTTAAAAAGCAAGCTGAATTTAGCAGTCTCCAACATGTTTCCCTTCATAACCAACACCAACCAGTGAGAAGGCTGGGTTGCAAGAGACGACAAAAAGAAAATCAGCAGTTGGGAGGATTGTCACAAGCAACCACGCCCAATTTTCAAGGAGGCAAAGGACACCACAGGTTTATGCTTTGGAACAGAAAAGACTTCATTGATTCCTATTTCATAGGGGCACGCTTGCCGCCAGGCTTGGCACTCTTAATGTACCACAATGAGGCCCCCGAGGTGATGGCTTACCACTGAGTGCCAAGCCCTCTATATTTCTCATCTCCTGGAGCCATTAAAGCAAGCCCTGTGGAATCTATGGGATGGTTTCAGACCTAAGACTTGAGACTTTGGTTAAGCAAGCTACTCACGGTCACACTGGGAGAAAACAGGGCAGATGTGGCCCCAAACAGATTCCAGAGCTCCTGCTTCTTAGCAGAATACTTATGAAGCAAGCATCAACAGAGACAAGCATTCATCACCATCCATAGTATTCCAGATCCAGACTACGGTAGGTCTGGGAACTGCAGCATAATTTAAAGAAAAGAAAAGAAAGTATAGGTTAGTGGTTAAGTGCCGAAATCAAACAGACCTGAGTCTACTTATAGGTTCTATATCCCTTGCCAATAATATAGCATCTTAGAGCCTCAGTTTTCTCATCAGTAAAATGGGTATAAGTGTGTCCTACTCTAGAGGGTTCCCTTGAGGATTATATAAGATCATGTGTGTAAAGCACCCAACACCATGCTGGCTTTGCTTTTGAGCTATTACTCTAATCTATAATAGGGTTTTATATTATGAAAGCTTGGCCCAAGCAGAGAACGTGAAGAAGGCTATGGGAATCCTCCTTAAAAGGGTGGGGAACTCCTACTTCTGGGTGTTGTGAGCCAGTCTGAGCCCATGATTCTGAACTCCTGTGCATGGCATCTGTGGAATGAAGGTGGGTAGGAAGGGCTAAACACTAAGCCCTAGGTCAGGCCTCAGGGAAGTAACTGACTTTGCAGAAGGCATTTGGAGGTAAGGAACTGGCACAGTGGGTCTTATCTATTAAGAGAAAATGAGCCCACAAACATGGGATTCCTTCCCTTGCTCAGCACACTCTGGCCCATACAGCACAGGATGCTGGCTCCTCTGGGAGACTGAGGGTCTCAGACAAGAGGATACACTGCACTGGGCTCCATTCCTCCCAGCCAGCTTCCTGCCACATATCCAAGGCAAAAGTGGTTAAACACACATTCAGGAAACACCGACGAGCTAGCTTTAGTCATGCCACCTTTTTATATTTAATTATGTATTTTTAATTTCTCAAGAAACGCTGTCTGATTTTAAAATTTCTTCTAATTATTTTCAAAATGTAATTTTGCTTTGTTTCTTCTTCCCCCAAATCCATAACATACCTACCTCAAAGTATCACAGGACAGAACCGCTTGTGAAGCTGTAGCCCACAGCCTGGGACGGGCTAAGTACTTCATTTAGCTAACAAGTCCATCATTACTATTACTTTACAAAATGCTTCCCCTGACACCCCTTGGAAGTCGTCCCGGGGTGGGGGAGGGGATTCATAGTATGCACTCCTAATTTTAGGGACCCAGAGGAGAGCCAGCTACATTAGCAAACACGGGGGTGGGGGGGAGGGATGGTGAAACAACATGGGGAGAAGAATGGAATGAGAGGGAGACAGATGGTGCGTGTGTTGGGGGAAGGGATCAGAGATCCAGGAAAACTTATGTTCCTGAATCGCAAGAATGTTTCCATTTAACCACTTCTTGCCTGACTCGTGATTCTACATAAAAGAGAAGTGGGGAGTTGTAAGATTTGGGGCCACCTGTACCTAGACGCGAGGTGCAGAGCCAGGAGCGTTGGGAAGCAGGGGCGTAGCGGCTCTTGCTCCAGTCACCTGGGGATCCAGTCCGCGTCCGGGATCCAGGTAAGTGGTGGTCTCCCTTTCCCCTGGCAGGGGCGGCCTAGGGGCGGCCGGCGGTTCGGACTGTCCCACGAGGGGGCGCGTCTTGGGTCCTAGGACCCGCCCTCGCAGCGCTGGGCGCGGGGAGGGGACCCGGGAACCCAGGCGCCCAGCGCTCCGCCTCCTGTTTCCGGGGCAGCGCGGTTACCTGCACCGCCCGAGCCGCACCTGGCGGAGGCAGAAGTCGCAAAGCGAGAGAGCGCAGAACGCCGCAGCGGAGAGTGGGGACGGCGCCCGGCCAAGGGGGAGGAAGAGGAGGAGGCGGTGGTTGCAGGCGGCGGCGTGGAGGGCGCAGCGCGCAGCGCGGCGGAGGAGGACAGGCGGCAGCTGCGCTCGGCTCGCTCTGTCCCGCCGGCCGGGCGCGTCCCCGGGCCCGCACCGCGCCGCTGCGGGCGCACATGGCAGCGTGAGAGGCCGGCGGCGGGAGCAGCGGGCAGCGCCGGGTCGGAGCCTCAGGGCCGCATGGACCGCGGCGCCACCGCGGCCGGCCCCCACTAGGGCCCCCAGTCCGCGGGCGCCACCCCACCCCCATCATGGTGCCTCGGCGGCCGCCCGGGCTGAGTACAGCCGGCCGGAGCCGCTGAGCCGGGGGCCCCCGCGGCGGCCGGGAGCTGCATGGGGGAGCGCGGGCCGCGCTCGGGAAGATGCCCCGGCCGGAGCTGCCCCTGCCGGAGGGCTGGGAGGAGGCGCGCGACTTCGACGGCAAGGTCTACTACATAGATCACACGAGCCGCACCACCAGCTGGATCGATCCGCGGGACAGGTAGGACCCCGGGGAGCCCGTACACCTCGCGTTCCGGCCTGGGCCCCCTCCTGCCCCGGGGACCACCAGCCGGGACTGGGCCGGGGGTGCAGGGGAACTCTATGAGCCTCTTGCGCTGTCTTCAGTTTGCCGCCCCCTCCCCAACCCCCCCGCCGTCTGGGGCGCTGCTCCTGCTGCGGTGGGCTGCTGGGAGGAGAGGAAGGCCAGTAGGTTGGCCCACGCAGTCCCACCGCCACCCGGACGGAGGGCTTAGGCCCCAGCCGGCACCTGCACTGAGTTTTGACCTTAAGCTCTAGCCCCGCCTCCTCCGCCCCCTTTAGGAAGAGGTCGGGCGGGGGCGGGGGGAGCAACCTAGCTGAGTGATTCTGGGGCTTCCGGGGGAGTCTTTCCCGGGCAGATGGGGGGAGATGGGGAAGCATCTAGTTTGGAGGGGGTAGTAGGGACCCAGGATCCAGGGGGAAACTGCTGGAGGAAGAAGGACACTAGGCAGAGGGGAAGGCAGCCCGGAGTGTGGTTTTTGACAGGTGCCTGGGAGGTTCTGAGAAGAGCATAAGAGCAGCCAGGGGGCCTGGAGGCCGGGAGTGGGAAGGAAAGGAAGGAGCGGGGGAGGGCTGATGGGGAAGATTGGTTCTCCAGGAATCTTACAGCAACTTGGAAGCTCTTAGGATACAGATGGAGGTGAGAGGCCTCCCGCAAAGCCCAGCCCATCACCTCGTTCTCCTCCCTTTCTTCCCCTGGGGGCCAGAGCTCCTCAGCCGTGCACCAGCGCGTCGTGACCTTGGTGGGCACCAAGCTGACTGTAGCACGGGATGTGTGTGTGTGTGTGTGTGTGTGTGTGTGTGTGTGTGTTGAGACAGGTGGAGTCTGAGATGAGATGACTGTTGTGGTTCTTAGCTTCCATACTTTCTCCCGGTTTTGATTGCTTGGCATTTCTTTACACACACCATCCCCAAGTATATCCTGGTGCCCCCTGGGGGTAGGGGTGGAGAGGACCACCCTCTGAGATTGCCTTGTCCTGTGGTCCTACTGTTTCAGGAATATGGAATTTTCACCTCGTCAGTGCGACCTTGGGTATCAGATGCCTGTAGAGCAATAGAGGTGAATTTTTTGGACCCTTCATCTGGCGGGGTTGGGATTGAGGTCCCAGAAGTCCAAGATGGGGTGTGTAGCAAGGTGAGGCTTTAAAAAAAGAGGCAGAAAGAAAATTTGAGTTGAGATTCCAAGTAGTTTCTGTGAGCACTTTAAGTTCATTCATTTAACATTTACTGGGTGCGTGCTTTATTCTCAGTACCATAGGGGATGTCTCATTAATGTAACCTGGAAGAGAAATCAAAAAAAGAAAGCTCTGTGCCCAGTGTGGGCCTTGAACTCACTAGCCCAAGATTGGGATTTGTGGGCTCTACCAATTGAGCCAGCCAGGTGGCCTTGGAAGAGAAATTTTTTATGCTAAAGGAAGCATCCCATGAGCAAGCTGCTTTAACCTCTGAGCCCCAGGTTCCGTTTGTCAGATTAATTGTTTGCTTGGAACGGAAGGACTAATAGAAGAATTCTGAAAGTCGGAAGGGACATAGATAATCAGCGCCCAGTTCTTATTTTCAAACCTAAGAAAAAATTTGAGGCCCTGAGGTGTGATTTGCTTGAAAATCTTGATCTTTCCGTCACTCCCCGTATGCCAGATTCTTTACCAGCTCTGACGTTCTGACCTCCAAATTTGTCCTGACTCACTTTCCTTCCCTGCCCCACTCAGGGTCATCTGTCCCAGGGATGCTGTTGCCCTGTTGGTGAACGGGGCAGCCCCTTGTTCCTTATAGAACAGACATGAGTTCAGTCTTCTATTTCCTGCCTAGTTTTGGTCCCAGCAGCTTACTGAGGCTGGTGTGCTGTCAGCGGCTGGACGTTGGAGGACTGGGACAGCCCCACATCGAGCGCTGCTAACTTACCCTAAGTCACGAATCTAGGGACTTCTCTGGGGCCTCTGGGAGGATAATACAGCTATGGAAAGCTTCTCAAACAACAGTAATTTTTCATCCCTGGACAAGGGTGAATGGAAAACTGACTTGGCTAGAGCATTATTTTTTAAATTTTAGTATCATGTGAACCACCACCATGATTTTGTGCTAAATGAACTTGTACTATTGCTTATTTAGAATTTAAGTCAACTCGATTTGAAAATTTTTTAACCACGTTTACAGAGGGGAAACTAGTAATATCTGTTGTCATAAATAGAAAGGATCCTGAAAGAAATAGTAGAGGAGGAGTAAAGTAACAACCCAGCGCCATTATATGTTAGCTCTGTACTGTAGCTTGCCCATATCCCAGCAATAGGTACGCCCAACCTTTGTGGGGTTTTTTTGTTTTGGTTTGTTTTTTTATATAAGATTTTATTTATTTGAGAGAGACAGAGGTAGTGAGATCGAGTACAAGCAGGGAGGAGAGGCAGGAACTGGCTTCTCACCGGGCAGGGAGCCCAACATGGGACTTGATCCCAGGACCCTGAGATCATGACCTGAGCTGAAGGCAGATGCTTAATCGACTGAACCACTCAGGTACCCCACGCCCAGCCTTTGTTTTTAGATAGACTGGCAAGCATTGGAGAGGAATTAAAAACATAATAGCATTTAACTGAGCCACTCACTTTCACCTTGCAAGTCATTGGTTTTAATGCATCTTTGTACTTCCTGGTCATCCTACCCATACTAGGTTAGTTGGGGGGTACTGAAGTTTGGGGTGCTGAGGTGTTCCTAGCGCAATCCTGGGGTCACTGTTAAGGTGGGCTAACTGAAAATTTGGGGAAAAGGCTAAGCGGAGGGCATCCACTTATGGCTCTCTGGGATTTCTCTCCTGTACATCCCATTTGGGATTTCTGTCTTACAGTCTTACCTGTGTGGCCTCTGGTAAATCACTTGACCTCTCTGAGGTACAAGTACGTGCTCCATTGGTGAGAGAAGATAGTTGATGAGAGGTGTTCACAGGACCCTGCCAGGTCTCAGATGTGATTTCAGACTTCTCGGCCTCACCTTACCCCTCCCGACCCCGCGGCAGAAGGAGGGGGGGAATTGTAACAAGGAAGAGGAAAAAAAATGACAAAGTCTAAAAGAGCCAGACACCTTGGGGTGGTGGGGTAGGGGAGATAAAAATCTACCAAGGTATTTACATCTCTGCATCTAATTAATGGTCTTAGACGATCACATAAAAAATAAAGTTCTACTCCTGAAGCTGATGTATGTGTGTGCGTGTGTGTGTGTGTGTGTGTGTGTGTGTGTGTGGGCATTTGTCTTGGCTTTTTCCTTACCTGAATCAAGGAGATGCCCACCCATTCCCTTGAATTTGAAAGAAGGAAGTCAAACAGTCCTTCAGTCAGAAAAGTGATTTCTTAGCGGTGAAGAACAAAATAGCGTCTCGGGTTACCAACCCTGAAGAATGTCTTGGCACATTCCTCCCTCTGGGGCTGAGCTGTTTTGTGTGCTCTCCGCCATGGAGGCTGCTGGGGGTAGGGAATCCAGTTTTCCGCTTCCCCTTTCACCAGCGGGTTGGAAGAGCCGCCAGGCAGCCAGCCTTGCCAGCTCTCTTCCCTTCTCACCCAGGGCAAGACTGGGAGGCCGAAATTCCTGAGGACGGTTGTCCCAACAACCGGAGAGGGTCCAGGGGGCAGCTTGGGCCCTGCCTACTGGGCCAAAGGCTCCCACAGCACCACAGGCTCCTCCTGAGGCAAGGCTGGCCTGGAGAACCAGGTGCTCTGGCCTCCACGGCCCCTTGGAGCAGTGTTCCTCCAGCGGAGTAACTCTGGGTGCTTCTGGGAGCTCCCAACAAAGGGCCAGCACTCCTTGTGTATTTAACTTAGTGGTACGCAAAAACAAATATGCTGATTGTTCTCTGAGGAAGAACGGATTGTTTGAACTGGCGCTGCCAGAGAAGGTTCCTGAAGCCTGATTCCTGCTCTTCCAGGAACCACACAGGAGCTCTGTGGGCACAGTTTCCGGGGCTATGTGAATAGTCCTGGAGGCCCACGTGGCTAAGAGGCCAAGTTGAGAGGACTCTGCAACCTCTCTCATGATTTGGGGAACATGTGCTAATCCTGTTCTTTCAGAAGTAACTTCTACTGTAGGAAGTGGGGCTACCGTCCAAAGAGCTTCACCTCCTTCTGGCCACGGATCCTTATGAGGATCTGATAAACATTAAAGATGCCTCCGGAAGGAAAGTGCAAATACAGTTTTGGAACATAATTTCAGGGGGCTCTTGGACCCCAGGTTCATACTCCTGCCATAGATTATTCTAGAAATTGCTCACCACGGCCCATATGCTCTCCTGTTCAGTGAGGTAGGAAATGACGACTGAGCATTTATTGTATCCAGGCAGTCTGCTGAGAGCTTTATATGGGTGATTTCCTTTCCTCCCTTTGACAAGCCTGGGAATAGGTACTATGATCTCGGAGGTACCTAAGGCTCAGGGGGGCTGAGTTTGGTGAAAGCCAGCTTTTGTGGAGGCGAGATGTGATTGCTGAGTGCACTGATGCCAGAACCCACACATCTGGCCGCCGTCCTGCCCTGCTCCACTGCCTGGGCTCCATTGCCTAAAGAATTTGGCCTTGGGGAATGGAGTGGGGACAGGCCTGACTTCACTTACCTGTAACCATTCTGGTGTGGCCCGGCCACAGTTAATCAGAGAGCAAGTGTGGACAGTGGAAAGAGGGTGAGCTTTTGAATTGTGGCATCTTGGATGTCCTACTTGCTACTCAAGTGACCTTGGCCAGTTGCAAGCCTTGGCTTTTG